CATACAGTTAAAAATGTATGCATTCAAAATGTGTCAGCCTCATTTAAGCATAATACGCCGTAAATGAACAAAACAAATATTTTATTATAATTGCAGTTATGTGAACACCTATACCATTATCCTATTGGCATATTACCCCCACCTATGAAAGTTTGTAAGCCAGTCCCTTCATGCCTCTATCCTCCCCATTTTGGGTATCCAATTTCTATATTGCCCACATATGTCAACCCATTGCTCTGAGGAAGCAATCATATTCTTTGATGTGAAGAACCTTCATTCCAGTTGGAACCTTGTGAGTCACATCCATTAGCAAAGTCAAATCAGGACAGGCTGTCCATAACATCAGCAGCAACATGCATCGATTCCAGATAAACCACTAGTTCAGAATTTGAAAAGCCAAAGGGTCCTTTTTTTTCTTCCTTCAGTCTGTCAACAACTTCCTTGGCAAGTCTCTTCAAGTTCAAATGCCCTGATCACTCAAGACACTGGGTGGGACCTATCTTGTAGGAGCCTTCTTTGCAGGTGTGTCCCACCCCCATTTAAAGTACCAATTTAATGGCTGAAGGCAAGTGGGCTTACAAACTCTCAATTTTTACTTCCCAATAATCATTTCTATCGATCATGATATCAATAACAATAGGCAGAAGTAAACAGTATGAGCCTAGTGCATCCAGTTCTTAAATTCAATTCTTAAAACATTCAAGCTCAATCCTTAGCTCTCAATCCTTATCTAAACTATTCCATTGATATGAAACATCTCCTTAGGCATCTGACTACATCAAGCCAGGGCCTTCTGTCAGCCATTGTGACTCACCAGCATGGTCTCAGAGGAGAAGTTCAAGGGGCGATTTTGCCCCCTTAGCTCAAAATGTATATTTATCACATTCATTTTTCCATTTCAGAGAGGATTAACCAAAGACAATGTCTATGAATCAAGTCTTTCATTTCCCGTGTCCTTTCCAGAAAGCAGTCGTGTAAACCAGCGGTTCTCAATCTATAGGTCGTCACCCCTTTGGGGATTGAACGACCCTTTCACAGGGATCGCCCAAGAGGATCAGAAAACACATTTCTGATGGTCTTAGCAACTGAAACACCGCTCCTCTATCCATCTCCAGGCGGGTCTGCCCACATGCAGATACGTCCACATAGACGTGAAGCTTGTTACCCATGCTACACCATGCTTCAAGACAAAATTTCATTTATTTGTAATTGGAAATATTTCACAATATATAGTTACATATTGTTTTGGTGATGAATCACTATGCTTTAATTATGTTCAATTTTTAACAATGAAAGTACATCCAGCCTATCAGATATTTACATGACAATTTATAGCAGTAGCAAAATTATAGTTATGAAGTTGCAACGAACATAATTTTATGGTTGGGGGTCACCACAACATGAGGATCTGTATGAAAGGGTCCAGGATTAGGAAGGTTGAGAACCACTGGTATAAACAGTGTGGGCCTGTCTGACCTCTGGTTAGCCAAAGAAAGATTGCCAGAAGGCAGAGGTCAAACAAGCATCCAGTTTCCATCGTCATCATTTGTTTCTTTAGTACGCCATTCCCAAGGTACCATAATGTGTTAGGCCAGGTTGACTAGAGAAACATCCAGAGACACTCGTGTGTAAGAGAGAGCTTTATATCAAAGAACAATTGTATAGTGAGAAAACATCCCAGCCCAGTACAGATCAAGTCCATAATTCAGATATTCACCCATGTGTCCAACACTAGTCCATAAATTCCTCTTTAGACTCACACAGCACATCCAATGATGCCAAATGCAGGAAGATCACAGGCGGGTGGATGGAAAGTCTTGTGGATCCAGTGGCGGTGGAAGCATCTCAGCACTAGCATGGGTCTCTCCAAGTGGCACTTCCAGCTCCGGGCTCTGGCTGCCGTCAGTGTGGATCCATTTGGCTTGTCAACAGGAATGTGAAAGCAGAGAGAGTGAGGCCCACCTCCCCAGAGAAAGAGAGGAAGTTCCCAGGGTCCTCAGGAGAAGGCCATGCCAAGGAGCCAAGCTAGGCGCCACCTCTTCACTCTTAATATCCTCAGGTTGACAAGAGATCATGTTATTACCACAACTGGTCTGATACTCAGATGTTAAAACATCATCCATCACAGCCACTTACTCATGTTAAATGTTCGTGAGAGTCAGTGAATACAAGATACTGGAAGCCGAGGGCCAGCGTTCAGAACCTGGCTGATGCAAAGCACATACGGCTGATGGCTACTGGAAGAAGCTTGTATATGTTTACCTTCCTGTGTTCTAGAATCTTCTGAGGAAAGAACAGCACAGTCCAAGGCGTAAATAAGGAAAACCAGATCTAAAACCTGTAGACATATTAGGACTTCATTTGCAAATAGAAGCTGGATTTAAGACTCCCTTTTCTTTATGTGCCCTTTTAATATTGGATTGTTAGCTGTTGAATTTGCTCTTTTGAATGTCTTTCCTCTGTAAGAAGGTGTGTGTGTGTGTGTGTGCGCGCTCGCGCATGCCCCCCTCCCAGGCTCACACTTCCCATCACATTTGAGAAAAAATGGGGGGGGGGGTTGTTTTACAAAATGATTAAGCCCTTCTCTGGTTACCTCATGGACTCTACCCTCCTTGCAGGACCTGATCTAAAGGTTTCTTTAATGCCTCTCGTTTCATTCATTATGCCCTGTGCTCACTGGGCTCTGCTCTGTGCAGGTGGTGTGTACTGGCTTGAACACAGGGACTCTCTCCGCCTCCTCTCATTTCTGCCATGCCACTTCCTCCCAGTCACCTCCCAGCTCGCACCTTGGTTGACCCTGGTCGGCTATCCAACTTCCAAAGGCTGGTCTTGAACCCTTTCTTCTCGCCACACTTTCTGAGAGGCCAAGCTCTACCCAGCTGCTTGGGTCCCCCACATAATGTCCCTTCCTCTTGGAAGTTTTCCCTCCTAATTTTCCTGGTTGGACCCTTACTCTTCCCTTGTCTCCTCTATTCCCTCTTCCTCACACTCTGAGATCCAGGGACAGAACCCTCTGCTTTTGCCCTGTGCACCAGGCGCCTTCTCCACTTCTGTCCTTCCTATGTGTGCTACTTTTGTTTCCTGCGTCTGACAACCGATTTTGTTTTTCTTTGTCTGGCTTAAGAGCCATGCAAAATTCATGAAGCTTTCTATAATCGCCAAAGAGCTTTTAAAATTTGTTAGTGAATGTATTTCCTAAGCAACAAAAGATGATCAACTTTTTTCACGTTTACCATCTGCTATCATCATTGTGTCTGTGGGCTGTGTCCCTTCTTGCCCTGTAAGCCCTCGAAGGCCAGAGTCGTATCTAACTTAACCCTAACCCCCACAGAACATAGCATAGTGTTTTTACGTAGTCATGAAGCAATAGATGTAATAAGGTAAATTTGTGGAATTGATTGTTAAACCAGGAAGAAAGAAACATATCTACATTAAGCTTCCTAAGAGTCCCCATTTTTGTTTTTGTTTTTAACAAACTGGGGGAGCTTGGGACCCCTGAGGTCTCTACAGGTTGTTACTGGTGCCCACAAGCATAGCTCTCGGTGAGCTGTGTGCAAAAGAAGCGGCGAAAGTAAGCTGCTGTGAGCAGTATGGAAAGCGCGGACGTTTCTTCCACTTCTCTCTCCCAAGCCACAAAGGGAGATGGGTAGCTTCGGTGGCGTTGCGTTTCTTGTTGATGGTTTCGTGCCCTGCAGACTAATCAGCGTGCTGTCATTCACCTTGCTTAGAAGGCTCATTGAAACAAACATCCTTTGTCATTTTTGCCCCGTAGGGAGATTCTGATTCATTGCTGCAGATCCATTGGTCAAGAGTTCTGAAACTCCTGGAAGTAGTTCTCTGACCCCTCAAGTTGGTGAACAGCTGTAGAATACCATGGGTCATATGAAATGGTCGCTAAAGGTTGCACAAGTACTGTGTGAGAAACAACCGTCCAGTTTCCCTATTCCTTTCCATGGGCTGGAGGTCCCGAGAAAGAAGCCGCCGGCCCTGACTCTCGTAGGCACAGAGCAAGGGTCGGGCGCTGCCTCTTAGCTGCGCACCTGCACCTATGAGCATGCGCACTCGGGGCTGCGGGGGCTGTGACTCCGCGAAGTGTGCAGACTGAGGATCTGGGGACCACTCCCATCTGACTAAGCAGGCAGCTAGTGTGGGATTTCAGGGGACCAGTAAGGAAGGAGCCTTTGGACAAAGAATGTGCGCTTCCCTCCCGTTGGTTGGTTCTTCCACAGAGATCTCAGCAAATGAAGTCCCCGGATAACTTTGTATATTTCTCTTTACCTCAGCTTTTTTTGTCTCCCCGAAGGTCGTCTTGTGGTAGTCACTCTCCACCCCACCCGTGCTGTGTGGCATCCTCAAGTTGTGACCCTTTCTTAGCCACCTTCGGAACGATAGCAGTTAATATGCTTCCTTTCTCTGATGTGTTTGTGATACTGCTTGTTGACAGTTACTGTTTATTTAGTATTGATGGCTTGTGGTGTCTTGAGCAACACAGAATGTGTAGGTCCAGCTTAGGGTATAAGGGATTTCTCAGTCTACAGGGATATTACTGACTTAAGACCTGGGCCAGTCTTTCCTCATTCGCCGGGGACTTGTATTCTTCACCGCCCGCAAGGTCTGGCCGTTCTCCTGACAGGGCTTAGGGGTCTGCTCCTGTGAGTTGGCAGGAAAGGCAGTGTGGAGTTGCCCAGATGGCACAAGGGAGGACAGCATCAACAGCAGACCCTAGTGTTAGAAGCTCTAAAATATTCTAGTAAATCATATTTTACTTCTTGACAAACATGAGCAAGTATCAGCTTTAGTGTCTCAATTACAGGCTTTTTGAATTTGGAGTGTTCACATTTTACCTGAACTTTCCTTCTCAGCTTCTTAAAAGACGTGTGGCTGTTGTGCATACTGATCATGAGGCTCTTGAACCTATATATGCTTTTGCGTAAAGGCATCTCCTCTCTTAACAAGTATCACTCCAACCTAAGAGAATTAATTCATGTGTTATGTTCCAGTGAGTCACCAGCTAATAAGTCACATTGAGCAGTTTTTGGATACTAACGAGACGCTGTACTTTATGAAGACTGTGGACTGCATCAAAGCCTTCCGGGAAGAAGCTATTCGGGTAACACTGCCCCAGCCCGCCTTCTCTTCCTAGACCAGCGGTTCTCAACTTGTGGGTCTCAACCCCTTTGGGGGTCGAACAACCCTTTCACAGGGGTCGCCTGATTCATAACAGTGGCAAAATTACTATAGTTATGAAGTTACAAAGTTATGAAGTAGCAACGAAAATAATGTTATGGTTGGGGAGGTACCACAACATGAGGAACTGTATGAAAGGGTGTTGGCATTAGGAAGGTTGAGAACCACTGTCCTAGACCCTTGGCCCTGTCCCAGGGGACAGAAGCACAGCCTCCCCCAAATAAGTGCTGTTGTTAGCTGCCCGTCACTTCAGTTCTGACTCCTAACGAGTCTGTGTACAGCAGAGCCAAACACTGCCCGGTCTTGATATGCCAAGAGAGGGAGAAAGGACTAACCTCATTTTACTATTAGTAGTGCCACTGAGGGAAAATAGGAGTGGGTGGGGGTGACCTTTACATCACACGTGACTTAAAAGTAAGAGGTTCTGGGTTTCTTTAAAAAAAGAGAGAGAGAGAGGAAAAGTGTATGGAGGAGGATCACAACAGATTTTAGAGCTGTATCAATCTTAATGTGTAGATCTTGAACTATAAAAATGTTCCCCCCAAAGCAGAATAATTTATAAATGAAGTAAGGAAAGGTGCCTACTGATGAGCTGTTTGTGCCTCCTAAGGAATTAGTTTTGGGGTGGAATGATCATGGCAGGTGACTATTTTTCTTAAGTCTGTCTTTTAGGGACCACCTGCCGCAGTTATCATAGACGGACTGCAATGCCTTGGGCTTTTCTTCCAGGCGGTTGCAGGTTGGAAGCAGGGGCAGGGCTATAAAGGGAGCACGGTCGATGATTACTGGAGCCGAGTGTGGGCACAGGAGCACTTAATAAAGCCTTCCCGCTGCTTCTGTGAGCATTTAGCTCTATGGAAAGTTAAGAAAGTGTCAGGCCACAAAAATACCGTGTCTCCCTGTGAGGCACTGGGTCCTCGACATGCAAGGATTTCTGATTCTAGACAAACACAGCTACATTTAATTTCATTTTTACCCATATTTGATTTTCACAATCCAGCAGTCTGGCCGGGGCCGGGGCAGGGGCAACGGGACTTTGGTTAGTGTCACTCTGACTCACACCCCACCTCAGTTTTCAGAACAGCAGCGCTTTAACAGTTTCCTGAGGAACCTTCGAGAGAAAGTGCAAGTGAAACCCTTCGGTCACTTTTGGGAAATTGTCGTTCAGGGTAAGTTCTTGCTGATCGTTTCCTCCACGTATTTGCTGTATTCTCTTTTCTAAACACAAATTAAATCTAAATTCTTAATGCAAGTCAAGTCATGTGCTGGGCTATGTGGCGACCTGATAACTCTGTCTGGATTGGGAAATGCTCAGGATTCAAGAAGTTTGAGAATCCTGCTTTAATCCAGGTGAAAAATAATAAGCATGTGAGTCCCACCTCCCAATGTGGTGCCTTTCTCTGTGTTGACTGACGCAGCCACAGGGCCAAACAGTCCCTTTCCCAGACCCCGAGGCTGTGCCCGTGCTGCACCCTGGGTGCCAGCCCTCACCCACACCTGCGCCCTTCTCCATACAGCCTTCCCTGCCACAGGTTTGGCCTCTCCAGAAGAGCAAGCCTTTGGCAGCGAAACCCAAAAGAAGGCAGGTCTTTCTGTCTCAGGCTTGACGATTGAGTCCTTGCATATATTTTGCCCGTTTCTTTTAACCTCACTTGATTTTCTTTCAGGACCCACGTACAAGGTATTACTTAAACTATATATATTGTGAAAATACTGGATATTGAAAAGATATGAAAGATTTCAGTTATCCCAGGACCTCCAGATTAGTTTCAACTGGTCCTTCTGTGCAAATTCTGTAGCAGAGGAGCCAAGTACCTAGCTGTCCAGCTTCTGGTGGGCACTTTTTCATCACACAGGCGCCACTCCGTGACAGTTAATTTTTCAGCCCTTTAGCTTCTACTCTGGGGAGCGAAAGCAATTAGGATAGGTGGCGAATGGGGCTTACTTAAATCACTTTGGTGTCTCTGCTGCAGACCCAGTAGATGAAAGAGATTGGTTTTGGTATTTATTGAATGCCTCTAGCATATTATTTGCTGAAAGAAAGCTTACAGGACATACCAGGATACATATTTCCTCAGAGCTTGTATCCTTCTGAGAGAATACACATGGCTTGTGACATTTCTAGGAACAAATGGATGTTAAATGCAGGCGCTTTTCTAGAAAGGTGCCATCGATCACTCGCTTGAGCTAGAAGAAAGTCTTGGGAGAAAACTGAAGAGTGGGGGGGTCTCTGCCCTGGGTTAGTTCTCACGGAGCTGAAATTGAGGTGCTGTCTTAGCGATGGTCATGGTCAGAGCGCTTCCTTCTGGTCTTAGTCTTCGCCCCGGTCCCCCGATAGCCAGGAACACTACTGGAAGTCAGAATGTGCTGGTGCCCACCTCATCGGTGTAGACAAAGCATACAGGGGGGTTCAAAAATCCGTGGGAAAATTCCCTTTCCTTTCATCCCATCCTTCCACAGGCTTTTTGAAGCTCGCGTGTACATTCGTTCAGTGATCATTTATTTATTGAGTCTGCTGTGTGAAACATGGAGGGGAATATGAAGATGAATGAAGGTAGTTCTTGCTGTCAAGAAATGTATAACCTGTTAGGAGAGGAAAACCATGTACAAGGGGGCTTAAGAAAGTATACGGAACGTGCTGACAGCCATTTAAAAGGGGTAAACAAATTGATTTGAGAATGCTAAAGAGGCAGAGCACATTTGTATCTGGAGTTCGTCAAAGAAGGCTTCATGGAGCCGGTTACATTTTGAGGTGTGCCTTTATTTTTTGCACAAGCCAATGTAGAAGGACACATGTAAAGTGGTAGGAATTGTGTGAAATACGAAAGCAGACAACTCCGTGTCCTAGCGCCTGTACAGTGTGGAAGACCTCCAGCCCTGTGGGAGGGAGGAGGCGCGGTGGAAAGGACCGATGCGGTTGGGTTATTTCGCTGGGGCTGGATTTCACTCTGAATTGCTTTCCTAGATGGGATCACCCTGATCAGCAAAGACGAAGCCTCTGGAAGCTCGGTCACGGCCGAGGAAGCCAAAAAGGTACTGAAGGAGCCCCTGCCTGTTACGTGGGTTACTTTCCTGATGCCCATTCTTCTTGGAAGAAGTCACATGTTTAGAGTAACTAAATTAAGCATCCATTCTTTAGTCAACCAACCAGCAAATTACTTCAGTGCAGCAGCATCTTGGGAGACATTGGATCTCGCACAGTCCCCGGGGGCCATAGCCGTCTTCGAGAATTCACCTGTAATCCCCTTCAGAAACTCTAGAGCAGAGGCTCTGAACCTTCCTAATGCCTCAGCCCATTATTTTCATTGCTGCTTCATAACTGTAATATTGCTACTTTTATGAATTGGGTGACCCCTGTGAAAGGATCATTCGACCCCCAAAGGGCTCGCAACCCACAGGTTGAGCGCCGCTGCTCTAGAGCCCCTGATGTCCATAGCACATAGCAAGCTTAGCCTGGACTTGGTAAAGTGTGAAGTCCACACAACCCCAGGACTTCTCTCCTTGCACACACACTAGATACTTAACGCATCGAGTGGTGTCCAGCTCACCGTGGGCTTCCGAGGCTATGATTCTTTTTTTTTTTTAATCATTTTATTGGGGGCTTGTACAACTCTTATCACAATCCATCCATCCATCCATTGTGTCAAGCACATTTGTACATTTGTTGCCATCATCATTCTCAAAACATTTGCTTTCAGCTTGAGCCCTTGGTATCAGCTCCTCATTTTCCCCCTCCCTCCCCACTCCCCCTTCCCTCATGAATCCTTGATATAAATTATCATTCTGTCATATCTTACACTGTCCAACGTCTCCCTTCACCCGCTTTTCTGTTGTCTGTCCGCCAGGGAGGAGGTTATATGTAGATCTTTGTCAACGGTTCCCCCTTTCCACCCCACCCTCGGAGGCTGTGATTCTTAACTGGAGCAGACAGCCTCATCTTCCTCCCGTGGAGTGACGGGTGGGTTCCTTCTCTTGACCTTGCAGCCAGCGGCCCAGTGTGTAGCCCTCTACGCCTACACCACCTGGGCTCCAAACAGCACTTTGGAGCGTCTAAAATCCCAGGTTTTCACTGCCTGAAAGCAGGAACCATATCTGTTCTTTATGCCAGGCAAAATGCTCAGTAAAAAGTCCTGTCTCTTTCTGATGACCACCTCAAACAATATCCTGGTTTCTCAAAGCCACATGACTCTGAGCTGAAAATTCAAGGCCTTTTACAGTTTGTCCGGCTTCAGCCGCGGAGTCTCAGCCTTGCTTCCTGCCACTGCCCTAGAGTCGTGTGCTCTAGCCCCGGCACTGCGCGCTCTGGTAGAGTGTGCCATTATTTTTTAATTCTTCGTTATCTCTGTAATTAATGTTACGCTGGGGCTGTTTGGTCTGAGTCTCTAGAGCACACGGAGCTGTCTCACTATCTAGCACAGTGGCCAGCATCGTTAGGCTTAGTGCCTAACGAACAGCTGCCAGGGAGTGTGCTACCCTAACCAGGGCAATCAGTGACTGCAAGTGAATCATACATAAAGTAGACTATGAGATCCAGCTGTTAATAGAATTCCACTGAGACTTCGTCACTAACCTGGGACATAAGGAAGGGTTACTCAACTAAGGAGCCCTATGCATTTGACTCAAAGCTGAATCAGGTCCAATTCCTACACCAACCAGAGAGTCCCTGGTCTCACCATTCAGTTTATCTTAATAAAAAAAGCTCACTGGGTCTGCTTACACAGAGCCTTCTACTGGAAACCCCTGGTGTCCCATACACTAGAACACCTTGCTGCAAATTACAATCACCAGGGAGGCTGAAAAACTCTGAACAAACAAAACCATGCTCAGGGCACTTCTCACACCTGCGGAACCCCTGGGAGGTAAGGACTGCTCAGGAGCACTGGACATTAGCACCCTGGCAGCATGGTGAGTTATGTGTTGGGCTGCGAAACACAAGGTCAGCAGTACGAACTCCCTAGCCACTCCAAGGGAGAGAGACGAGGCTTTCTGCTTCTGTGAAGATGCACAAGCTCGGAAACCCGCCGGGGCAGTTCTCCTCTGCCCTCTAGGTCCGCTCTGAGTGGGAAGCCACCCAGTGGCAGGGAGGGGTTTGGTTTACGGCCCTGGAGAAGGAGAGCCACAGTATCTGTACCTTCTTCTGCCGCATCAGGACCGAGCACCCGAGCTTGAGAAGGGCATTTAATGACTTGCTTGGTTCTGTGGGTTTTACCTGCTCATCAGTTTACACAGTGGCATGGTGATATTTGCCCTTCCAACTGGGGAAGAAAGTTTGTCTATGAGTTTTACTAAATAGGTCAAACAAATCAAGACACAATTGGAGCCATTATTACAATGTAAACAACCACTATCCCAGTGAGAGTTGAGTGCCTGTGAACTTTCTGAAGAAGAAGGGAGCGCTGGTCAATAAAAAGGTCGTCGCTGCTCCTGCATGGCACCCCTGACCCGAAGGGGTGTGAGCAAAAGGAAGTCAGACGATTAGAGAAACCCACAGAGAGACACTGTGCTGCGCACACCGTAGACGGCTTCTCCTAGATTGCCCAGGTGCAGTCAGCTGTTCAGCTTAAGGGCACGGAGCTTGAGCATCGGGAATGGTAGTGCCGGATAATTAAGCGGCAGAGAAGATGCTCAGTTAATGAGTAGGTGTGTGGTGGTGTCCCTTTAATATCACCAGTACTGATTTCAGTTAGTTGGAGTTGAAGACAATTTCAGCGCCGTGTGAAGGGAGAGCAAGCAGGTGGAGAAGACCCCCTCCCCTCTTGGCTTTGGTTGCCTCTTCCTTGTGGAGCACAGTGTTGGCCTCTGCGAGGCTAGCCAAGCTTGCCAGTACCAGGCACCGGACACTGTCAGGGCAGATCAGAAACTTGCACATTCCACTGGGGTGTCCAGAGTGCCTCTGTGTGCTTTCTCACTGCCAGCGAGTTGATTCGGACTCATGGAGATCCTATGTGTGGTACGTTAGTCTGGTTTGACTGGAGAAACAAATCCAGAGACATTCGTATGTGTACAAGAAAGATCTTTATATACAAGAGCAATTGAATATTGAGAAAACATCCCAGCCCAGTTCAGATCAAGTCCATAAGTCTGATATTCCATATGTCCAATACCAATCTATAATTTCCTCTTCAGACTCACGCCACACATGCAATGATGCCGAATGCAGGAAGATCACAAGCCAGTGGGTGGAAAGTCTTGTGGATCCAGTGGCAGTGGAAGCACCTCAGCACTGGCAAGGGTCTCCACGTGGCTCCTCCAGCTCCAGGGCTCTAGCGTAGCTCCATGTGTCTTGTCCATAGGAATGTCTCGCAGGGAGTGTGTCCTGCCTCCAGTGAGCTATTTATTTCCATAGCACCTTCAAATGAGGTCATCAAGCTGCAACCTGATGGACAGGCTAAACTCACCCCTTGATTCTTAAGTCTCAAATTGACAACAGATTATGTAACTACCACATATGGTTTCCAGGACAAAATCAGTACCAAAGTAGAAGACTTCCTCATCTTTCTTCCACTTAGTTTGAACCACTGACCTTGTAGATAGAAGCCCAATGTCGAACCAGGGCCCTTAGGCCAGTAATCTCAGAATGCATCTCCATCTGCTGCCTGCACAGCAGCTGTCTGGTCGGACGGGCACCGCTTGGAACGGCCTGGAGTGACCCTGAGTAGAGCCAGGGTGCTGAGTTCCCTCGGCTTCTCCATTACAATGGGGTCTGACTTGCAAGATGAGGTTTTTAGGCCTGTCTTAATATCCCGTGACCTCCTAAGTTTGTTTGTCAGGCTGAAAACTTGATCCATTCTATTAAAAATGTAGCGTGTATCCAGATGATATTACCGATGGGGAGGGGGGCGTGGTGGTTGATACTGTGGCTCAAACGACGGCCTCCGCTATTTCTCTCAGTGCAGTTCTGACTCGGTGCCTTCACGGCCGTTCTGACCCAAGGCAAGCTGCAGGACAAGGTAGCCCTGCCCCTGCAGGTTTCCTGCCCTGGAGCGCTTCTCCCATGGACCAGCTGGGGCTTTCAAACTGCTGACCTCGCAGCTAGCAGCTCAACTCGTAGCCGTTACGCCGCGAAGCCTCTTTTCAGTGAAGTTAGCTTCCTGTGGTCACTTCTGACCATGCCGTGCCTGTGAGCCAGCGTTAAGTTTGGTCACTTCCCAGATAATCAGTCAAGGCAACTGAACTGTAATTGGGCTGGCCGAGAGCAGTCCTCACAGTCCAGTTACGTTCTCTCATGGTATTTACCCGAAGTTATTTCAAGTTAGCGAGCTGTCAGATGCTTGCTATTTAATGTTGATGATTTTGAGAAATGATTACCCAGGAATGTTTCTTTTTAAATGGAAGATGAACTGTAGTTTTACATTTGCACAACAGCCACGTCCCTCCATCTGTTTCAGAAATGTGGACCTGATGGTTCTTCTGAGAAATATAAGTAAGTCCGCCCTGCTGCAGAGAGGAAGAACTTCCCCGTGACATACGTCTAGATAGTCACTCTGAGTTTGCCTCTCGTTTCACTGTGAAGCCTAAACACAAATAGAGCCCACTTTTTATACTTATTTCTTACTGTCGTATTATTCTTCCAATTCTTTGTCTCTTCCGAGTTGGTATTATTACACCTGTCATTAGCATGTGCCGTTTGGGAGGTCTCCGTATAGCTCTGTGTCCCTCATGTGTGCCTTTCATCTGCCAGTCCTTTCTCTGTGTGGGGCGGAGGCGTGGCTCCCCAGCTGGGACTTCGCTGGAGCCACGGGCGGTAGCCCAGAGTCGGCTGGCTGGGAGAGGCCTGGCAGGGTGAGTCATTCTGCACGTAGAAGCGGATCTTTCTTCATCCAAAAGGATTTGCGTTTGTGTGTCCTCTTGCGAACCGTGGTAGGGCTAGGACACTGATGGTCAACTGGGGGATTTTGCGCCCCCAGGGATATGTAGGCAGATGGTTTGGGTGCTTACAGATGAGGACATGCTGAGCCTGTTTCCTGAGACTTACTGCTTGCAGCCTAATACGTAGAGGGTGACTTTGGGCTCAGGAGACATATTTCAGGTTGTGTGTAGGCCTTGGGTTCCAAAGGCTTCCGTGTTTTCTGTCGCACCGTTAAGGGTAGGGGTCTGTCTGGGGAAAGCAGTTGTTGCCACTTTCTTTTTCAAGTTGAGAGTGTGGCAAACGTCCCACCACTCTTGGTCCTCTCAGAGAAGCAAGGAGAGGAGAGGTGGGCGGGAAGGCTCTGCCGCTGTGCTGCTCCACGCCCAGTGTCGCCGAGGAGAGCGAGGAGGGAGCCGTCCTCCTCTGTAGACGCCCACTCTGACAAGCCTGTCTCCTGAACATCACTGCTCGGTACCGTTGTAAGTGCTTCTGCTGCAGCAGAGCGCCTTCTCGCTGTCTGCGTGGCTGGTGGAACCTTGAGCTTAGATGTAGTCACAATCCCACCGCCGCCTCTGGGAGAGCCAGGATGGACGGCAGGAGTGTTCGCAGTCTCCTCAAGGCCATGCTGAATGTGCTCTCCTCAAAGCTCAGCTGAGTCCCAGTTCCGTGCAGACTTCAGGAACCTTGCTTCTCTCTGCACACCAGCCCTTCAGAAGCTGCAGGTGTAGAAGGCTGATGCTGAACAGAGCGTACACCACAAGTTTTCTCACTCTCGCCCAGCTTTCAGAAACTGCCCCAACACAAATGGGAGAGTGTATAGAAAAGGAAATTAAACCACTTCCCATGCTCATCCATCCATTGTTGTGTCTTGTCTTTCTGTTGTTGTTAAGAAGAAGTCTGGCTCTTTACCTCCTTTGGCCGTGATAGAGTTGAGGACTATCAGAGAATATCTTTTTTAAGTTCAGAGCTTTGAAATCATTCGTAAGCTTCCTTTAGAAGAGACCAAGACACACCAATTTGCCGTATTTGGTTATTTTCCTAGCCATTACAAGCCACCTGTTCCTAGTGAAGGCACCAGTGGCGTCCTCCGCACAGTCCCCTCCTGCCCCTTTGCACTGATTTCCTCTGTTGGCTTTTTAGCATGTGCTATTGCTCTTCAAATCTGGGCCTCGCGTCCAGAGTCAGGTAGAGGAGGGATGTCACGATGCTGCGGCTTTGAGACCATTTGCAGGAAGACTTGGCTAAGCAAGTCTGGTTAGGCTTGCCCCTAGCAACACTAGCAGGCTGTTTCCTTCCGCAAGAGAGGTACAGTGTCATTGCGGTACCATGATGGCCTTTCCCTTCATAGTTTCTGACCCTGGATGAGAAGCCAGCGGAGGACGCAGCCCGGTGTGAAGAAAGCGGGGATGTGGATGACTTGGTAAGTTCTTTCGGGGTACCAGGTGCTCCTCTCTCGGTGGCAGTCACTTGACTGCTGACCGTAGCATTATTTCTTGTGTGTTTTAGTTTCTAACTCACCAGCAGCTCCTACACTGTTATTTAATGCCATTATAAATTGAGTCCATAGGTAATTTCATGGAAATTCCTGTGCTCTGTGGTTTCCATTATATTGTTCCTGCAGATTAATCCTCTCCTTTAAGGGGTGAAAACGAATGAGGGAAATGTTTCAATTTACTGAAACTGCTCTCAACCCCAAATAAGCACTACAACGTGCAATTTACGTGGGCTGACAAATAAAAACAGCCTTTAAAGAGCCTAATTCTTAAGTGATCTCAATTAACTTAATATAAACAAAGTAGACGGATAGGCCTTGGCAGATTTCTGGGCCTCTGTACACGTGGGTGTCAGAGAGCCTGTGTAAGCGTTGGCTTGTGTAGTCGTGTTGGTAAACTCCCGCCTCTAAGCCCCACATGACAGCTGTCCAGAAAAACTGCCGCTGCCTCCTGCAGTCTTGTCGCAGAGCATCCCTCACTGTGAAGAGGGGGACACGTTCTGTCTCTAGCTCTGCGGCAGGTAGCGTGAGTCCGTGTGCGTGTGTTCACTCTGCCCACGAAGAGGACCTTTCTCATTCAACCCTGGTGCCAGAGTGGCAGTGGTCCGAGTTGGCCTGATGACTTTCTAATTACATGGTTGTTGTTTATAGCTCGACATGATGTAGTCACGGAGTGTGTGGACAATCTGAAGAGACGAGCTGCAGGGTCACGGCGCCGTGCTGGGAGTGCACACAGAACAGCCGAAGGAGGCCCTCGAAGGGAGCCCGAAGCTCTGGGGACCTGCAGATTCCACGGAGAGAGTGTGCACGCAGAGGGTCAGACATTATACAAGTTTATAAAGAGCCATTGTTATCTTCTGATACATGAATTCTTTCTAGTGTGGTCTTATTGATCTCAGCTTGTGACTCGTGACTTTGAAGTTTCTGAAGAGTCGCGCTTCCTTGTGAGGGTGGTGAGGGTCTCGGCCCTCACAAAGTGCTTTGCATCCCCTCCTGGCCTGCCCGCCGGCACCCTGGCCTGCCCAGGCATGTTTCCCAACAGGAGTAAGCCCCTCACAGGGAGTGCCCTTTGATGCTCAGATAGCGTTCACAACTTGGGTGGGTCAAGCAATGACCTGTTTTCTGGATCACGGGAGAGAGGGGTCAGGAAAATCACAGGTCAGGGTCACCTCCTCCTTGGACCTCAGCCTTGTAGTCACCACCTCCAGAGTGCATGCTGAGGGGCGAGGGGACATGGTGTGCGTAGGTCTTTACAAGTGGGTTTTGATGTTGTTCTCTGGAAGAAAAGACCCTCTCTGGGACCCGCCCCTGTCATCTCAGGGACTTGAAGAAAGCAAGCTGAGAGACTCACAGTCCATGCTAAGGAATGTGTTGTCTCAGGAGTGTCTGCTCACAGGCCTCACGGAAAGTCGATGGTGTCAGCAGTTCCTCCTTTAGCTCCCTGTGGTTCCCGTCTCCCTCGAGATGGTTTTCTTCCCCAAACTAAGAAAGTAGCAGCGTTCCCCCTTTGTATTTCTACCATCCTTTCCCTGAGTCTTAATCCACTCCTTCCTGATGTCACAGACCTCCGGGCCCGTCTCATCTATCCTCTGCACCCCCCATTCAAGTAACACACCACCTGCTTTTGTAAACAGGCCACGGAAGTTGTAAGTGACTCACAGCTATGGCTTCTTGCTGGTGGCTGATGCCCTGCCCGCCACAGAGTCTTCAGTGTCATGCTAGTGGAAACGGGGTCCCAGAGAACGAACACCAGCCCTCCCGCCAGTGCTTCACAGACTTGCCGCAGTCTCCAGGGCCTGCAGGTACCATGTGTTACTGTCCAGTGGATGTTTGTGATGCGGTCAAAACAAAGACATTCCTGAGAATCATCAAGCAAGGAAACTGCATTCTTTTAAGTTCTGTATGATCCTCTTCAGAGTCCCCTGGCATTAAGAATTGGCTCAATGAGTTACCACCCTGTTAGTTTGTGGAATTTCTGCTTGGCAACAGCAGTCCTTCTGTAACCAGGAAAATTTTGAGTCAGGTTTATCCTTTGGGTTGTCTAATTCCTTTTTTATTTAGGTTGTATGTCAAAGCAGAATTATTTGTGCTTCCCTAGCCCCAGTTTTGCCTAAATTAAGCAGACCTGGGGAGAGAAAGGACCGAATTAGCCATGTCACTTCCAAATCCACTCACCCTCCACTCGGAAGACCCGGGAGATGTGCTGTGTAGACGTGGCCCTAGCATACATACTGTGTTGAGTAGGCCATGTTTTGGATGCACACGTCCACGTCCCATTTTGCTGAAATGAGATTTTCAGATCCACAGAACCCCTGCTGTTCTGCCTGAGCTCTCCGTGCGCCTCAGTCAGCCCGAGCTAGTCCTCCGAAGCCCATGTGTCCTATAGATGGTGTGGATGAGAGGTCCCTGACAGTGGTCCCGTCACCTGCAGTCTTACAGCTCTAAAATCTATTAGAGGGGGGTGGCCGTGGGGAGCGGGGGGAGACTCGCCCTCCAGTCACAACCCACAGGTCCCAGGCATTTCCCAGTGCGCCTGCAGTCTTCAGCATTCAGTCAATTTACATACTGAATTTGGACTCCTGGGTAATTATTTTGAAGTCCAGTTAACGACAAGTTGCTTGTTTACCTAATTCAGAATGATTTTGAAAAATAAATAGGCACAGATACTTTTAATGTATACGGGACCAATGACTGTGCTACGAATTTTGATTCAGAGAACAGATGATTCTCTCTGCTCGACTGCCCTCCCATTGGCCTCATCTCATACTGTCCTTTTCTGCTCCCCGAGTTACCTCGGGGTCAGAAGATGATCTGGTGGCCCGTTCGGAGTGATTTGGGGAAGGCACACAGCATGGCTACGGAAAGAAGGACCCCTGCCTGCTCAGCCACCCCTCCCGCCAACCCTGCTGGAGCCAGGCACAAGGGACGAATGGCAAAATGGAAATGGGCTCGTTTGAAAGATGGCTTAGCTTTGCAATCTTCCTCCTACCTCCAGAGCCTCCCCGTAGCCTGAGACGACAAGGAGAGCAGCTGGGCGAGCCCTACTTGCTTGTCGGACTCGCAGTGTGGAGCCGAAGGGAAGTGCGGGGAAGTTGAACCTGACCTAAAGTCTGTTAGGGCTTTTACTGATCCCGGTAAATATGGCCCAACTAGCAGTCACATTTGCAAATAGTGGGTAGAGGACTATTAAAAGGTTAGTGGGAAGCGAGACCTTAGCCCAAAGCCAGCCCTCACGAGAGTCAGTCACTTTTATCAGTAGAACTGATCATCTCTGGATAGATAGGGTTGACTTCCAGATCATTTTTGAAGAAAAAGACCCCTTGTCTCTACTTAAGTGTAACTCAAGAGTAGACTTCCTGCTCTTCTTTTCTTTAGAGAAGCATGATGGCATAGTACTTCAACATACCCCCTGGATGTTCACTGGTCCTAGGTGTGAGTGTCAGTATTGGCACTTAGCAGCTGAGTGGTGTGCGGAGAGGGTTAGGGTTAGAGTTAGGGCAAATATCAATGAAGATAGCATTAATGGCACATAGTATGCTGGCATAACAGCATGGAAAACAACAGATTTGCTTTAATCCTGTGTGAATAATTTAGGGGACCGGGGTGAGGAGGATAGGGAGAGGAGCCGTAGAAGGAAGTTGACATTCGGGGGGAAGCCTGGAGGAACAACAAAGGTGGGGATCATCTGGTTGATTAATTCCCAGCCTTTGTTCTGGTGAACATTGTAAACGAGGACTACTTCTTAGAGATGGGGTGGGGGTGAAAAGAAAGGCAGGATGGGGCATTTGGAATGTCCATGAAGTATTTTACTCTTACTTGTATCTTGTCAGTGAGTCTTCCAGCTCCTGCTAACTATCCAGTGAAACGGCAGTTATTCCTCCGTGTTCAGAGTTGTGTGTTCAAGGATGCGTGATGGTGCTGGATCCTGTGCCTTGCATCAAGGAGGAAAAGGGTAGACACACAATGTCCAGGGGAGTGCAGGCATCCCTGACTTGCCTGGCTATCTTGTGACTTACACCTGAAGCCAGTCATGTGTAGGTGACAGTGTGCACTGTCCCTGTACCTGTGTGTTACGGCCAAGATCAGATATTTGTATCCTTCCCGTTCAGAAGCAGATGAAAGAACTGGAGGGACCCACCGTTTATGTCAAGAAATTTGGAAGAGAGCTACTTGGCCAACTTGACTAAAGAGATCCATATTTGCACCCATTCCAAAGAGGCGACCCAATCGAATGCTCAAACTGTAGAACAGTAGCATTGATGTCGCAGACAAGTAAATTTTTGCTGAAGATCATACAGCAATGATTGCAGTAGCACAGTGACAGGAACTGCAGAAGTTCAGGCCAGATTCAGAAGAGGACAGGAAACAAGGGAGCAGAGAATGCCAGAAAGATGTTCACTTGTGTTTTGTTGACTGTGCCAAGGAATGCAACTGTGTGGACATCATAAACACGGACAACCTTGCAAAGAATGGGAATTCCAGGACACGGCATTGTGCTCGTGAGGAACTTAGACGTGGATCAAGGTAACAGTTGTGGAAACAACAAGGGAATACTGCTTGGTTTAAAATCAGGAAAGGTGTGCCAGCGGGGTTGTAGGCTCTCACCATACTCATTCAGTCTGTATGCAGAGAAAATGAAGCTGAGGAATGTGAAGCCGACTTATATGAAGAACATGGCATCAAGATGGGAGGAAGGCTTATAGACAACCTGAGACATGCAGATGACCCGGCCTTGCTGAAAGTGAGGAGGACTTGAAGCACTTGCTGATGAAGAGCAAGCACTGCAGCCTTTCGTGTGGATTGTGACTCAAAGTGAAAAAAACTAACTCACAACGAGACCAATAGGTGGCATCACGCTAAATGGAGAAAAAGTTGACGTTGTCAAGGATGGTGTCTTATTTGGATCTACAACCAATGTTCATGGAAGCAGCAGGAGATCAAACAACACATTGCTGAAGGTAAATCTGCTGCAGAAGACCTCTCTGCGTATTAAAAAGCAAGGATATTACTCGGAGGCCTCTGGTGCACCTGGCCCAAGTATTCTCCATTGCATCAGATGTATGTGAAAGTTGGACCTTGCATAAGGAAGACCATAGAAGAATCCATGCATTTGAATTACGGGGCTGGAGAAGAACATCAAAAGTGCCATGGACCGCTAAAAGAACAAACAAACCTGTCCTGGAAGAAGTAAGGCCAGAGTGCTCCTTAGAGGCAAGGATGGCCAGACTTCAGACATTTTGCCAAGCGAGACCAGTCCTCGGAGAGGGACATCATGCTCAGTAAAGTGAAAGGGCGTCAAAGAAGAAGGCCCTCGAGGAGGTGGGTTGACGCAGTGACTGTCACAGTGGCTCAGGCGTTGCTGCAGCTGGAAGGATGGCACAGGGCCATGCACTGTCGTGCGAGGGCTCATTGTGGGCAGAATCGACTCAGTGACACGCTACACCAGCAACACAGCCTTACAGAAGGAAGAACAAAAGTGAGCTATGTTCTGAAAGCAACCACAGAGAACAGCTCAGTCAAGAAAGCAGAAAGGAAGTGTGTGCGAGCACTCGTAAACAGCATTGCTTATAAACTTAAAATTGCAGTCCAAGCGGTTGGGCTTGAATTTCAGTGTGTGAGGGCAGATTGGAGCAGGATCACACACTGCCCAAGATCAACATGCACATTCCATGTGGCCACATCCCATTAGTAGTGTGTTTCACAGGATGCTGTGCCTGTTACAGAGTAGCGCTCCGTGCCCTGAGGAGGAGTCTCTGGAGGTTTTGGTAACATGAAGAAGAAATCCTCTGCCTCATCTCTGGACTCTTCCCCTTCTGTTAGGGGCAGAGAGAAAAAGATACGGTGAATCGAACAAATCTAAATAATTTTTTATAATGTACATGTACTTTTCTGTGTCTCTACCCTTCTTGGCTTCAAGTTGGTGCTGACTGGTAGGGCTGCTATCTACAATATAACAACAGCTGTTATGTTTGAGCCCATTGGTGTAGCCACTGTGTCAGATCCATCTCACTGACAGCTTTCCTCTTTTTTACTGCCCCTCCACCAAACTTGATGTCCTCCTTCATGGACTGGCCCCTCCTGACCATATGTCCAAAGTATGTGATACAAAGTATCTTCCTCCTCACTTCTAAGGAGTACTCCATGAAGAAGGTATAAAAGATGTTAAAACTTTCATCAGTTTGCACCTTCCAAATTTGACAAAGTCTAAGTAAATCATAGGACATTTCTGAAGCCAGATGGCTGAATAACCCCCACCCCCACCCCAACACACACACACACACACACACACACACACACACACA